TCTCCCACCAAGCCATGCAAGGGCCTCTTGGTATGTCCCCAGAACAGTCTCCCACCAAGCCATGCAAGGGCCATCCTATCAAGTACAAAAAGCAAACCCTGCAAGCACGTTGCCCACATTCACCCTTTTTCTTCATTGGTTTGAAGCTGGAGACAGCATTACCTATGGCTGTTGCATGTGCACAGCAAGCTCACCCTCGCTCTGTCCAAGGGGCTTGTAGGAATACCTCCTCCTGCTGCCCTCTGGTGAAGATCCACACTCAAAGGTGATGATGTCAAGATGCGAGCTCAAGGGGATACAAGAGGGTCTACAGGGGTCTGGGAGGCCCTGTTGTGCTCTAGCGGTGGTGCAATGGGTTTTTTGGGGAGGACTGGCAGCCTAGCAGGAGCACCCAATGCTTCAAACATGCAGTGGGATATAGCACCCAGGAAGGCACTTGTTTGGAAAGGATGGTCCTTGTCAGCAAGATCTTTGTGGAGAAAACCCCGATCCCTGGCTGCAGAGGCTGGGGACCAATGGTGCACTTGGATTTGTGATGAACTTGGACGAAAGGATACAGAACAATGTTGTGTTTTGGAGCAGCAATCAGGACGAACCTCTAATTCCTAGCACCAATGAGTGGAAAATACAAACACATACCCAACTACAGAAGGCAGAGCAAAAGCTGTCTGGAGGTGGCAGGTTTGTGCAAGTGATTACACTGACACTCAGGCAAGGAAAGTCATGCTAACTTGGAGAAGAGATGCTACCGTGCAAGCCACACGTCCAGGGGGAACCAGCAAGCAGATGTCAGTCTTGGCAGAGGGACACTGGAAATGCGACAAGGATGTGTCATTATTCCACCTGGACTTACCTGCTGTGAGCGTGGTGCTCTCCTGGAGCTCCTGCCAGAGCTCAGGGTTCTGTGGATGCAAGTTCCAGCCCATACTGTGTTTGTACTAAGATGATCCTCGTGCAGGTGGCTGAGCTGATGTCATTGGGACTGTGCTTCTGCCGTTGGCACGTGGGCCACATAGCATCCTCCCTCTCCCATTTTTCACCTTCAGCAGACACTTCCCACCTTGCTGGGACACAGAAATACATTTGAAAACCTGGACTTAATGGGGCTGAAACTCCTGACCAACAACAGCAGGAAACAAGTGAGCAGAGCAGCAGGGCAGTCCCAGCATTTCTCCTCACTTTTCCATACACCCTCCTCCATGGCTGCTGGAGGAGCAGTGTTACATAAAGGCAGCCAGGTCTCTGCCCTTTGTGAGCTGTCAGAATCACTTTCAATATCTGAGACACCCCATCTGGCAAAGGTCGTGCTCTGTTCTCTCGATGGTCTTAATTTAGAGCCTGTGAGTTCTCGGCAATGTGCAAAGAGCTGGGGTGTGGGCAGCTCCTCTGCATCAAGGTGTGAGCGTCTGCAGCATCCTCACCTCCTGCCTGAGAGCCATTGATGTGTACTGGGGGCTGACTGAGGCACTGGTGAATGCTCAGCTCATGAGCTTCCCCCCAGCATTGACACATGGAAGGTGCAGGGTGATGGAGATGCATCCTGCCGGCTTGCTCCTCATTATTTAAAGCTCAGTCTTTGGCTCTGTGCTCGGAGGAGCTGGGGTCACGTACATCACTTTTCAAACAAGGCACACAGCAGAAGGGGACCTGGAAGTTTGATGCCAGAATTTTAGCCGGGTTGCTCACCAGTGCTGATCTGCAGAGCAGCCGGAGGCAGGAAACCCACCGCGTTCCCAAGCCAACCTTCAGCATGTGGGGCCGGGGTCTCTGACCTCGGGGATCCCAGCTGTCTGAACACACTCCTAATCTTCTTGGGAAAAGATGCCACAGCTGGGATGGAGGGAGGGGGGAACCAGGCTGTGCCCTGAGCTGCTTTGATTGATCAGGTTTGCTCCTGCAAGCCCATGGATTTGGCTGCCCGGCCGTGAACAAAAAGCTGCCTTCTCCCCGTGCCTTTATTCCCATGTCGGGCTCTCCAATGGTTGCCTATGGAGCAGCAAAGGGTGAGGAAGGCTTTTGCTGATGGCTCTTGACAGGCGTGGGGAGAGGCACAGCTTGGCCTCAACTCCAGCAGGAATGCTGCTTCTCACTTCCCATGGAGCAGGCTGCAGCCTTGTCTCTGCCCCAGAATCATCACCTTGGCGAGCACATGGGCCTTAGAGGGACCAAGGGGTGCACAGCAGGGACCTGCAGACAGTTGCCCTCCTGCACTGGGCTCTGTGGGGTGAGGATCTCCATCCAGGCACCATGTGCTGGAGTGCCAATGGGGTGCTGGGATGCCCACACGATGCAAGAAAGCCCATGTGATGCTGAGATGCCTGTGGGATGCAGGGATGTTCATGGGATGCCTACAGAATGCATGGCTGTTCACAGGATGCAGCAATGAACACAAGATGTCGAAATGCCCCTGGGATGCAGGGATGCCAAAGGAAGCAGGGCTGCCAACGGGATGCAGGGATGCCCACAGGATGCAGGACTGCTGCATTCCCAGCCAAAGCATCCTGGCTCCAAGGTGGGACACATCCACTCCTTGGACACTTTGGAGGGAGGCTGCAGAGTTGCATTGTCTTATGGCACTGCAGAGCAGGGACAGCTGGAGGAGGGGCTGGAGCACCTGCTCCCATCTGTGAGCACCAGTAGGAAAGAACCTGGTGACATTTTCTGATGGCAAAGAGCAGTGGGGATGGCTCTTCCAGGCTGCACATGGACGTGGTGCGGTCACCGTCCTTGGAGGTGTCCAAGAGCTGTGGAGGTGTGGCACTGAGGGATATGGTCAGTGAGCATGGTGGGGATGCATTGTGGGTGGGCTTGGTGATCCTACCGGTCTTTTCCAACTGTAATGATTCCATGATTCCCCATATTTCCTGCCATGTGGGGTTTTGCCTGGAAAGCCTCTGTGTGCCAGCATTCATGGTGGCTGGCAGGCAGGCAAAGCACTTGCTGTCCCTATTCCCTTAACTTATCCCTAGGTCCTGCCATTTTCTTACACCAGTGAAACCATCATGCAGGAGCACTGATGAGGCAAGATTATTTTTTATTGTGTGTGTGTAGAAGGAAATGTGCCTTTTTGGAGGGTTTTGTTGCTTCAGAGCCAGCTCCAGCCCAGAGGATCCATCCTCATGGGACTGGCACACGTGTTTTGGGGCTGCTGGGGTGCGGGCTCCTGGTGTGACGGCTGGCTGGCACAGCAGGGCGCGTGGCAAGATGATGAATAACTGCTTAAAATAAAGTCGCCACCCCTGAAAATAAGCCATCCCATGGGACCCACTGATATCAGCCCCTGGTAGACAGGGCTATCAGAAGCTCGGCTCATTCCTAAACTCACACGCACTGTGAGCAGGGACCGCTGGCATTTGCCCTAGCACAACACTGTGGTGGGGCCAAGCGCTGGGTAGCGGTGCCTCCGACCCATGCCAGCAGCGGGTGGGACCCCTGTACTGGAAGGGGGCTGAGGTCCATCCCACATCCCTGGGCAGTATCTCCATCCTCAGGAACTATGGAGCTCCCCCTCTACAAGCTCTCCTTGTCCTCATGCACCCCTCACACATCCTCTCCTCCTCTCTTTGCATCCCTGTGTCCTGGTGATGCTCTGTGCCACCCCTCCAGCGTCCCCAGTGCTATTTTTAATGCCTAAAGCATCAACCCCCCCCAACCTCCATGGGAAGCAAACAAGCCCCGTGCGTGCAGCTCCCGCTGCTCATGCTTCAATCCCTTCCCTCCTGCCTGGCTGCTCTGCAAGCCGGTACCCTGGAAGGGGCCTCCCAGCTCTTGCTGGCAGCCCTGCTTCAGACTGACCGCCACAGATAGTGCTTCGAAGTGAAAAATATATATATATAATAATAATAAAAGGGAAAAAAAAAGAAAGTCATCTTCTCACTGAGGTTTTCAGATGTACTCGACCATCCCAAGGTTTCTCAGGGGAGATTTGGCAGCATGATATTCGGGGGGGGTGAGGATGTGCCAGAGTGGGTCCTGGGGAGCTGTGTTTTTCCCCAGCCTGGGCAGCGTGCCTCCAGCCCACCTTTCTGCATGTGTCAAGCAGATGGGACCGTTGCTCAGGGTGGGGAAAAAAAGGGAAGAATAGGGAAACATAGATCGCTGGTGGAGGGGCACTCCGGGGCTCTCCGCTGCATGGATTGCGTGCGCTGAGCTCTGGGTGGGGAGGGCCGGGGATGGCCCCCTCCTGTCAGGTGAGGGATGGGATAGAGACAGTGCCACGACTGGAGCGAAGTGTGGGCACAGCTCGTCTTAGGGAGAATAAAATAAAGAAGTGGGGGAGGATGGGGGGTGGGGGGGGAGGACAAAAAAAAAAAAAAGAAAGAAAGAAAAGAAAAGAGAAAAACACGCCTGGCTGCTCGGCGATGCGCGGAGAGCAGCGAACGGGGCAGGCAGCAGGGCAGCCCGCGCTGTGTCCGCAGGTGCGGCCGCGGCACCGCTGCCATCCCCTGATCCGCTCCCAGCCCGGGGCCGAGCCACGCCGAACCGAGCCGGGGAGCGGGTCCCGGCGGGGTGCTGCGCCCTGGGCAGCGCCCGGGAAGGCGGAGGGAGGGAGGGGAGGGCGATGCTCCGCTCGGGGTTTATTAGATTGGATATAATCATCTTTAAATAAGGCAGCCCCCCCCACCCCCCCCAACCCCTCCCCGGCGGGGGGAGCCGAGCGCCTCGGGGCTTTCTAGATAAGGGCGCATCTCCCGCTCCCGCAGGCAGCGCTCGGCTCCCTCCTTCCCGGTGTCGGCGGGCAGCGAGCTCCGGCCCCGCCGCAGGCAGAGGGGTCTCCGCGGCCGTGCCCTCTTCCTCCCCCTCCTCCTCCTCCTTCTCTCCCTCCTCCTCCTCCTCCTCCCGGGCCCGCAGAGGGGAGGAGAGCGGCGCCGGGGAAAAAGTTGGGGGCAGCGGCACCGGGGGAGGATGCCCTGGCGCTACCCCGACTGCCGCCCGCCGCCCCCCTGAGCCTCCCGCAGTCCAGGGGCCGCCGCCCCCCGATCCCTCGTCCCCCCGGGGCCATGCAGAGCTGCGGGGCTCCCTTGGTCGCGCTGCTGCTGACGGCGCTCAGCCTGACCCGCGGGGACCCCCCGCCCCCCGACCCCCCTCAGCCGTGCGGGCTGGAGGCTCCGAGCCGCCGGGCGGCCCCCCCGCACCATCCTTACGGGCTGTACCCTGGCCGAGCGGCTCAGGGGGGGCTCGGAGCCGCAGCCCCGGACTCCGGGAGGCAGCGGGGTCGGAGGCCGAGGGCAGCCGGGGGAGGCGGCGAGGAGCCGCGGGGCGAGGCGGAAGGCAGGCTGCGGGGCCGGGCGGCGCGGGTGCCGAGCCCCCCCCGGGGCCGGCCGCTCCCCGCCCTGTACTTCGCCGGCGGCCGGGAGACGCTGGCGGCGCGGCCGGAGGCGCTGTCTCACATCCCACGGGAGCGTTTCACCCTGGAGCTGTGGGTGAAGGCGGAGGGCGGACAGAGCAACCCAGCCGTCATCGCAGGTAAAGCTCGACGGGATGCGGCGGAAGGGATGCGATGCGAGGCCGGGAGGAGCGGGGGGGACGCGGGGACAGAGCCGAGATCCGGAGCTGCTCACCTGCGACAGGTGACAGCACCCGTACCGTCCCACCGACACCCCAAATCCCGCTCTACCCGCGTCCCGGGCACTCACCGGGAGAAGGGCTGTATTTCCCGGCCCCTCGCCTCCTCAGGGTTTGGGGCACGGAGCTCCCGGCGGATCGCCCCCGGCCCACGGAGTCCCGGGAGCGGTGGCCGCACGGTGGCAGCCGCACCTCGCGCACCGCCCCGGCCCGGGCTACGCGGTGCCCCCGGGCTCTGCATCCCCCCAGGCTCCCTTCTTTGCGTGGTTGCCGAGGGGGGCTTCTCTCCCTCGTGCGGAGAGACATGGCACGTGGGGTTAACTCACTGCGACCCAGGAGCCAGGGGCTGGTGATGGAGAGCTACAATAAGAATCTGAGAATAGTTCGAGTTGGAAGGGACCTTTAAAAACCATCTGGCCCCACTCCGTGTGCTGAACAGGGACACTCACAGCTCCATCAGGTGCTCAGAGCCCCGTCCAGCCTGTCTGCAAGGATAGGGCACCCACACATCTCTGGGCAGCCTGTGCTTCTCCACTCTCCATCCCTCCACTGAACCCCTTTGCTTTGCTTACCACTGGGCTCCACACTTAGACTTTTCTCTGTGGGATGCAGAAGAGGAGAGCGGATGGGTGGCAGATAGGGAAGCTGAGCCAGTGTCTCCCACCCACCCTTTTCAGAGCTGTCTGCACCTGGAGCTCAGCCCTGCAGGTGCTTTGCATTACTTTCCCCTGCTAGTTTTCTCTCTTTTGTTGTCGTTTAATTTTCCCTTAGCGGAGGGTGGGCCCATCATTACACAGCGACCACTGGCACTGGCACGATCCCCCGCTCCAGGCTTTGAGTCAGCCCCACGCACCTCCGGCTGGCTGAGTCACCCGCAGCTTCCCACCCGCGCCCTGCAGCTGGCAATGCGGGGCCATGGTAATGGGGACAGGGATGGAGCACTTCCTGCTGTGTTCTGTATGTGCAGGTGGCACCAGGACCTCCAGCCCTTCTGCCCTGCTGGGATGGGATCGTGCACTGGCTGCTTGGTGCTCAGGGAGGAGCCCCAGGGGAAAGGATGCTCTGCGTGGTCCTTATAAAGCTGTGCACTTCTTCACCACTCTCCTGGCAGTCAAATTAAAAGGGTTATTTATTCCTTCTCTGTCTCCGTTGCCTGAACTTTACACCCCAGGGCAGTTTTGTGGCCAGCTTTTTGCATATTGGTGCTGAAGCACGGCTGCTTCCTTTCGTGTTTTTGTGGTGTTGCCAACAACGCGTGTTTTAAATCCAGCATTATCACTGTAATCCTGGGCACAAGTCACAAGCCAGGTTATGTTTCCCCTTTCCCATCCTATAGACTAGATGCCAAATTAGACTTGTGAATGCCAAGATTTGCATCTCCTCTGCAATGGCTCTTTCCATTTTGGTGGGCCACTTGTAAATTTATGGGGCGCACCCAGACTGTGTTTGCAAGGATGCTGGGTCCCATTCTCCCCATAAAGCTGCTCCACCTCAATGCTGTTTTTGCTCTCCTCTTGCATTTAACCAAATTTGGGGCACCCTAGATTGTCGCAGAGTGAACTGCAGGAGGAGATCCCAAGCCCTGTTTCCTCTGTCCCAGTGATGAGCAAATCCTAGAGGATGGCTTTTGAGTGTGCAGTCCCAGCACTTCCACCCAGCACTCTGGTTTCATACACAAAAACGAGCCAAACCTCATCTGTCCATGTAGACTTTGTGTTTGGCTGTTTTTTTTGCTAGCATCTTGGCTGGAGTGGTTCTGACCACTTGGCTGCAGCTTGTCCTCCTTGGAGGAGACAAGGACAAAGAACACTTGGGGTCCAGCAGTGTTTGAAGTGACCTTTGTAAAGCTTGCTGCTGGGTTATGAGGGCTGGAAAGGATATGTGGGGCCGTGGTGACCTGGTTCCCTTGGATGTGATCCCTCCATCCATGTGACACTACATCCTTATCTCTAAATTGGAGAGAGATGTATTTGAAGGGTGGGCTATTTGGTTGGCAAAGAATTGGTTGGGAGGTCACAGACAGAGGGTTGTGGCCATGTCTCTACATCCAAGTGTAGGTCAATGAGGAGTGGTGTCCCTCTGGGGCTCATCTTGGGACTGGTGCTCTTTAACATAATCAGTGATACAGATGATAGGATTGAGAGAACCCTCAGCAAGTTTGTGGATGACACCAAACTGAGTGGTGCAGTTGCTACAATAGAAGGAAGGAATGCTATCCAAAGGGACTCTGATAAACTGGAGAGGTGGGCCCTTGTGAACCTAGTGAGATTCAACAAGGCCAAGTGCAAGGTGATGCGTTTGGGTCAAGCAAATCCCAGAAATATGCACAGACTGCAATAAAAAGTCTCTGAGAGCAGCCCTGTGGAGAAGTACTTGGAGGTCCTAGTAGATGTCGGGGGAAATTTTTCACCAAGAGGGTGGTGAGGGTCTGTCACAGGCTGCCCAGAGCTGTGGGTGCCCCATACATAGGTGTTCCCAAAGCCATGGATGGGGCCCTGGGCTGCCTGATCTGGAGGGGGGCAACCAGCCCATAACAGGGGTTGGAATTGGGTGATCCCTTTAAGGTCCCTTCCAATCCCAGCCATACTGTGGTTCTATGACACAAGCCTGAAGGTCGTACTGAGAGCATTTATTATGTCCTCATGTTCGTTTGTAATGTTTGGTGCATCCAGCCACCTGTGGCCATTAACTGCAGGGTGAGGGAAATCTGCGAGATGGAAGATTGAGATATCTGGGAGATTTAGGAACGCAGGATGTTTTGCTTTGGATTGACTTATTCTAATCCTTGAAAGCACAGTGTCTCACCCCAGCCTGCAGTCATGCTCCTATGGGAATGTCTTTCTCTTTGGCCTCTCTTCTCCAACTGGCTGAGCTCTTCATGCCCTTTCCACTCAGCTTCCATAGCTCTGACTCTTGGCTCCTCCGTCTGCTCACCCAAATAATGAGCAGTGCCCACTGTCTGGACCCTGCCCTACTTTATTTGCCTGTGTCTCATTCAATGTGACCACATGGGCTAGTGGGGAAATATTGGTGGTAGATGGATGGTTGGACTGGATGATCTTGGAGATCTTTTCCAAGCTTGCTGATTCTATGACTCTGAAAACCTCCCCTGCTCCTTCACCCCAGAACATAGAAACATGATGATGTGCTTTGCTCTTTTGTGCTCTATATCCCTAAGAGTCATCTCAGTGCAGGAGGCAGAAGCATGCCACAAGGATGCTCACAGAGCAGCGATGCTCTCCACTTCTCACCACCTCCCTCTTTTCTCTCCAACCCATCCCCTCTGCAGGAGTCTTCGACAACTGCTCACACACGGCCAGCAATAAGGGCTGGGCTTTGGGCATCCGTGCCCTGCGCCTGGCTGGCAAGCAGGACGCCCGCTTCTTCTTCTCCCTGCGCACAGACCGAGCGGCCGCCGCCACCGAGGTGACAGGGTCCCACCGCTACCAACCGGACACTTGGACCCACCTGACCGCCAGCTATGATGGGCACTGGATGGCCCTCTATGTGGATGGGGTGCGGGTGGGCCGCACTGATGGGCAGGGAGGGCCCCTGCACAGCGCCTTCATGGCCTCCTGCCGCACCCTGCTGCTGGGAGGGGACGCCTGGGGGGACGCTCATGCTTTTCGGGGACACGTGGCCGGGCTGGCCTTGTGGCAGGATGCGCTGCCCCAAGCGCAGCTCCAGCGAGCTTTCCTTGAAGATGTGCCCAGCGGCTCTCCAGTGCTGGCCGCCGGCTTGGACACTTTGGAGCAACAGTGGGTGCCGTTCCGTGAAGCCTCGCTCCCCCGGCGCCGGGTCCTGCCCCCCGCCGTACCCCCCATCCTCCATCCGTTCGGTCCTCCAGCCTGCGGGCAGACGGCGTGCGACAACGTGGAGCTGGTCTCCCACTACAACCAGCATTGGCCGCTGCGCGGTGCCAAGGTGGTGCGGTACCGCGTGGTCAGCCTGGCCGAGGACAGCGGCGGGCGGCCGACGGTGAGCCGTGAGCAGGTGTGGCGGCAGCATCGGGCGCTGAGCGAGGCCTTCCGCCCCTACAACATCTCGTGGCAGCTCAGCCTGCTGGAGGTGCGCAACTCGTCCTTGCGCCGCCGTGCCGTTCTGCTGGGCTGTGAGCCCAGTAAGGTGGGCAACGAGCGCTGCGACCCCGAGTGTGAGCACCCACTGACCGGCTATGATGGCGGGGACTGCCGCCGACCCGGGCGCTGCTTCTCCTGGAAGCGCCGCGACGGTGTTTGCCACATGGAGTGCAACAACATGTTGGATGACTTTGATGATGGTGACTGCTGTGACCCACGGGCTACCGATGTCACCAGGACCTGCTTTGACCCTGACTCGCCATACAGGTAGGTAGGGAACCAGCCTGTGAACTGTGAGGGTTGTCTGGGGGACGTTGCAGGTACCATGGGTGCAAAATGCCTTAATGGAGCTTCTGTGCACGGTGCTAGGGCATGGGGGCACCTGCTGCCATGGGGGCTCTGCACGCATCTCTCTTCTCCCTAAGGGAGAGCAACATTCAGGGGAGGGGTTAGAGATATGCAGTTCCTCTGGATTTTCTCCTTCCCTTCTATTCTCCATGCTGTGGGAGCAGCTGGGCTGTTGCTACAAACACATCTTCATTCCCAAGCCAGCTCCTGATCCCCCAGTGGGAATGTAGGAAGCAGGTGCCCATAACCAGGACAGTGGCAGTGGGTGTCTTCATCCATTCCTGAGCTTTTCTCACCATCTGAGGAAGCACAGGGGGAGGACGAGGAGCCCTTCTCTCGGTGTTTCCCCCTCAGCCATGGCACCAGCCGTGACCCCTAGATGTTTTCCCACCCTGGGATGAAATCTGATGGCCTGTGCCCATCAGATTCATCATAATGTTAATAATGATCAGAACATCATGATGTTCTTCATTATTGGTGTGGTGAGCGGTTCTGCTGCCTGCCACATGGCTGCTCAGGATGGCCGCCCACTGCCACTTGGCCACCAGAAGAGGCTTTGCTACTTAGTGGAGACATGGCCAAGGCTCTGTCCTCACCCTCTGTGTGCAGCTAGAGGAATGTTTTCATCCTCAGACAAGAAGGGCTCCACCTAAATTTAAAAAGGCTGAATTTTTGCTGGTATGAATCAGGGCTTCCATTTGTCAGGATTTTCCCCTGAAAGTTGGGAAAGAAAAAAACTAAACCAAACAAAGCAAAAAACCAACATACAAAACAAAACAAAACAAAACAAAAACCTTGCTTCTGTGGGAAAATGGGAACACTACGGAAATAACAAAACTTCTGCAATTTTTCTTTCTGCAGCCCTCATTGGTCTGCAGACAAGACGGGACTGTAGGCAAATCTCTGAAGGGGAAATCCCTCTTGCATGGTGGTTGGGAAATCTGGGGGCATGGATTGTATGGGGCCCTGGGCAATGTGATCTAGTACATGATCTAGCAGCTAGCAACCCTGTCTGCAGCAGAGGGGTTGGAATTTGATGATCCCTGAGGTCCCTTCCAACCCAAGCCATCCTAAGATTCTATGACTCTACGATCCTGGTGCTGCTGAGCTCCTAAGCTCTTTTTCCCCTGCCTGCATGGGTACCATGGTGTTTGGGGTAGGTACAACCTGAATTTGTACCCCGCTGTTTCATGGGAGGTTACCAGTATGAGTCTGGGAAGCGGCGAGGTGAGGTGAGCTGGTTGGGTTGGTGCCCTTCCTACGGGTCAGGGGATTCATCCCAAAATACACAAGCAGGCATTTGGCCATAAAGCATTATGCTTAAATGAGTGTTTATGAGGAGCGGGGCAGCTGGGAAACTTGCAGGAGGATTTTTAGGGTGGAAGCCAAAACGGGAGGAATAACAGAAAATAAAACTTAACAAACTGAGGAAAGGCAGCACGACAGGAGCCAGGTGCCTGGAGGTAAGAGCTGTGGCTGGGGACAGCGTGGTGTTGTCTTTGATGGAGATGGGCAGGGGGAAACATGTTGTTGGACGACTCCTTTCGGGTCAAGGTGGCACAACGGAGCTTTGGGCTTCTGCACGGTGAATCAGCTCTGCCATATTTTATTTCAAGGCTCTCTAAAGCAGTGGTTTGGATGCGAATGCTTCTCAGCACTGCCAAAAATAATCCAAAGGAGAAAGTCAGCACGAGACACTGGACAATTTCTTACTTAGTGCTGTCGACAGATGCTATTGTTTTGGTGAAGGGCCCCAATACCTTGGCTTGCATGACCTTATGCACGTGTAAAAGCTTTTGCCATTTTAGAATAGCCCTCACCTCTCTATGTCTGCATCTTTGAGAGAGGCTGATCTGATTGTTGGAGAGAGCAGAGGGAGCTCTAGTGCTTCTCAGCTGGTGAAAGCCTCTGTACACTTCTAGAGCTATGTTTGGTTCCAGCATATTGGCCATGCGTAGTGTCGTCCAATATCAATAGCACAGCAGGCAGATGAGGCTTGGAAGGAAGAGTGGCAAGGCTGTGGGGCAGGGAGCTGTGCTGAGCCCATGGCAGTGTTGGTGTGCACACAGCCAGACCGTGGTACTGAGCCTTTCTCATGACCATGGCAGGAGATGTGGACGGCAAGTCAAGGACACGACTGACCATACAAAGAACAAAGGGACAGATATAGCAGGAGAACTGCCAGCTGTCATCCTGCACCCAGCTCCTCCTGCTTTTCCAGGAGCTGCTGGCAGTGTAATGCCAGGGTCCCGGAGTAAGTTTGTGTTCATTTGCTGCAGACATCCTCTTCTTACAAAGCTCGAGTGTTGTTGTAATTGGCGCTCTAGGAAGGCAAGCAGCAACAGCTCATTAACAGCAATTAACACTCAGTATGGGCCCCCCTTGGGCAGTTACACTGTGAGCCTGGTGTGTGACACAGTGTGTGTGAAAAGAGCAACTGGAGGGCAGCCTGGGTACCAGCAGAAGGAACAGAAATAACACAGTAAGCAGAAGCATTGGTAGTGGAGGTACTGCCGTTCGGGACAGCCACAGGCACAAAGAGCCTCCTCTGGTATGGCCCTGAAAACCACAGGGCAGGAAGCTGAGGAGCAGAGCTTGATGGGGCTCTCTAGCATACTCCCTGCCCCACATTTTCCCTTCCCTTTTGCCAACCCCTTGTTTCAAGAGTAGCAAATTCAGTTTTGCCTCCTCTGGGATGGCCACAGCTGTGATGTTAGGATCTATCTCATCAACAGGACGCTTGATGGGCCTTAATGTGGGCTTAGCCAGGCTGCCTTCCTCAGGGAGAGATGCTTAATTGGGTTAGGGCTGTTGGGGAGCCTCCTGCTGTTTAAGCGGTTTCTTCAAGCACTAATCCAGATTAACCTCACCGAGTGTCTCTTGTGGACAGGCCCCAAGAATGAACTATCACTAAGCAATTCTCCTTTCCTGGCTACAGGAAACCTGAGCCAGAATAGCGAGCAGTCCACAAGTGCTGGGCTCAGGTCTGGGGGCTGTAAGCAAGGTGGTAAAGAGATGGGCATCTTGGGAACCCCAGAGGGAACCCCAAAGGTAGCAGTACTGGTCTTGGTGGCCACTTCCCCAGGCTGGTAGGCCCACTGGGGCTGGGCAGGTGCAGTAATTAACAGGGCTTTTTGCAGGAGCCTGATGGATTCCTTGGTAGGTTCTTTAAAGTTTCATGAGAGAGGTCAGACTGAGCTCATAAAAAAGCTGAGCGGGAAAGAGAGCCCACTCTCTCTGGGCTCTTCTTATTGATTACTAATTTCAAAACTTGGCAAAGATGGATGGGATTGTCCTTGGTTGTTGCATCCTGAGGACAGGATGTCCACTGAGGTGCTTGTTCATAAAGTGGCAAATAGCCAGGGCTGAGTTCACCCAGAGTCCTGGTTTTGGTCAAAAAACCCCTAATTTGCTTTTGATCCTCTCAGCCCAAATACATCAGAAAGCACTTAACACATCCTTTGCATCTGTTATGTTGTGCCAAAGATGAACCCAACAGTAGAGTTGTGTTTTGAGGAGCAATGAAGTCTGAGAGGGAGTGGTAAGAAAATGGGCTCTGCTCTTGGTCAGTGTGAAATCCTGAGCCCTGCGGTGTGTCTGCACTCATGTCATCCACAGATACTGCTGGGGGGCTGCTCACCTCAGCCTCCAACTGCTGCTTTCACCTTCCTTGTGGGATGTGTTCATTTGCTTAGATGTCCTATTTCTTCCATCCGATCTCCTGTCTGCTGTGAGAGCTGTTCCTTCCCTGCTGTGGGCTGCAGTTGTCTGTCCTTGTCTCTTACAGGAGTTGGATGTGCTTGTCTCTCTGTTTTGGCCTCTCTTCCAGGCTCTTGGAGGAGGGAGGTCTCCCAAACTTCATCATACATCAGGGTATGAGTTGAGCATCCCAAAGGGCTTTCAGGGCATCTGTTCTCCTGAAGCTGTGAGAAAGAGGATGTAACACCTCCAGTTCGGGCTAGCAAAGGGAAGGGTAGCACAAACTCCCAGAGACCTGCCCGGTGCCCCAGGGTGGCTGGAGCTGTGCAGGAGGACAACCCAATCCGCGTGTGAGCGGGAGCAGCAATCCCTGCCCAGCAGCTGTAGGAGCCCAGACTCTTTCAGGGAAAACAACCCATCCAGATGTGAGCTATTGTTCTAGCAATACCACCATCCTGGGGGCTGATCGAATCCAGACAACAATTGTGAAGGAACAGCATGTGTCCAAGGGCTGGGCTGGGGAAGGGGGGAGTCACTCTGTTTCCAGCTTTTCAGCACTCCCTGGGGTTCCTACTCATCCGTCCGTGTGCAGCTGAGATCCCAGGAAATGACCCAGCAGGGTGCTTGGCAGCATGCTGGTGGGACTCCATCAACCCCACGCTGATGGGCTCTTGTGGATGATTGATGCACGTTTGGGTTGGCAGGCTGCGCCGCAGACACTGGAGCTGTTGAGCGAGCATACCATTTTTAGTTTGCCTTGGCTCTGCTGACATCGTTATATAGGAAATCAAATTGTCCCTTTGCAGAGGGTGATGTGGGGAGAAGGATGGATCCGACGCAGCCCAAGCCCACCAGAACTGAGCAAGGCAGAGGGCTCTGGGAAAGGGAGCAGTGGTAGCCTTGGTGTTTCTCTTGTTTGTGGTTAAAGTAGGGCTGTTACGTTACAAAACTTCCCCCAAATAATTATCTCGCATCCTTTTTACATTCGCGAGAAAGGCATTTTTAGAATGCTGGCTTGTACGCACTCCGGCTGGGATACCCGATTGCCTGGGCCTAAAAATAAGTTGGGGGCTGGGGACTTGATTTTTCCCCTCCTTGTTTACTTATTTAAGAAGAGGTGGGGATGTTTGGACTGAATATATTTATTTTCCTCTCTTTCTCCGTATTGATCTCCTTCTGGACTAACACCAAGAGTATTTGCCCTTCAATGAGCAAATTCA